GATAATTCGCCCCCAATATAAATTTGGCTATTGTTTTTTAAACCAATCAAAATCCACCCTGTGATGAAACTTGCTTGTTTTATCAAGGATGCACTGTAAGAAAGGGGAACTCAAGGAACAAGATTTAGACAGAATGTACCACACATGTGTTAACTCCAATACAATAAGTATGTGATCTTATGTCGTAAAATTCAGAGAGCAATAATAATTAAGCTCATGATTTACGATCACTTTTGAAGTCATTTGACTGACATAGCTTAATAGCCTCTGAATTGTACTCCACTCAGTCTAATGACTAAATATAAATTGATGATTTTTTTTAGAAAATGAGACAAAACCCTTGATCTTGTATGAAAAAAATTAGAGAAAAAAATTATATAAGCTAACGATAAAGTTATTCTGAATAATAAATGGCACAAAAGGAATTCTAATGTTGATGCTTCAAAGAAATTTGTGAATGGTTATAAGGCTAAAATTACACCTCGCAAAGTTCGATACTTCAAACAACTGTACCTGTAACGTAAAATGTAAAGCCACCACAATGACAAAGAGCCGTTATAATAGCCTACAACAATTTATCGTTCTTGGAAAAGAAAATCGTTTCAAATACTTAAAGTATTTTCTGAGACAAGAAAATAGTTCAATGCTCGCCGTAAATGACAAACGTCTTCAAAATATTCCATTAGGATGTCATAACATTTGTGAGAGAGACCTTTTACGCTCTCCGCCAAAACAACTCAAAACAAGCATGCGAGAACCGCACACATAAACACAAGTTCCACGATAATGACATGCTCCTGAGACTGAAAATCCTATAGTCATGTTCAATAAAGAAAACTCATCAACACAGACTTGTTTTTATTTTAACACAAGAAGGGAATTTGAATTAAAGAAAACCATCTGCTAAACTCGTTGACAGCCAAACAGTTCGTGATTGCATCGCTTTGGTATTTTCGATGTTCGACGAAAACAATTCTACTTTGTCATGCAGCTTACACTCCCAAAAACAACAGTTCCCACAACTGCGACTGGTAATACATCCGTAAGCAAGAAAACAGCAATTAGTGCCTCAAATAAATGAGTTCACCGTCACTTCAAAGCTTACCTATTTCATCTATTTCCATAGCACGGACAGAACTCTTCGCTTCCAAATTGCTGCAGCTTCGTCTGAATCCCCACAGTCGCTGATACACTCGATAATTGAAATGGTTTCCAAAGCACTTCCCAAGCGGTTTAACTATGGCGGCATTCTCAAAGAAGTTATATCAGAAAGAATATCCTACGATTATATTGTCGGCAAGCGCAAGAGGGTTGAAAATTGTCCAATAAACCTCCTACACTTCCCGAAAGAAAAGACCGACAATGAAATGAGGGTTTACATGAAACAGACCATTACCGACATACAAGTCAAAACACGCGCACTACGAAGGCGAAACATCCACAACCTTGTTCTTGATTCATTTGCGAGAAAGGCTTCTGTTAGTCATTCAAAATATTCCCGCAAAGAAACCCTCCAACAACAACAAAGTCGCCGACATCTTTTTATGATGAAGCGTCTAGGGACACTGTGGGTCATTTATGAGGGAACCCCACGGGCACCAAGATACG